CGCACACGCACACACAGACACACAGGTTTGTAATTATGTCTTTGTGGGGACTATCTATTCATTTACAGTATATGGGGAAAACTCAAATCCTAACATGACACACACAAACACACACACACACAGGCATGTGCATGCACACACAAACACACACAGGCACGTGCATGCACACACAAACATACACACAGGCACGTGCATGCACACACAAACATACACACAGGCATGTGCATGCACACACAAACACACACACAAGCAGGTGCATGCACACACAAAGTCACACACAGGCACATGCATGCACACACAGACACAAACACACACACACGCAGCTTCCCTCCCTTTTAATGTTTTAATCAGCACTTACAAATAGACATGCTTCCCTCTGCTGGCCAAACAGGGTATGAGGGGCCCTGGGGGTGTGAGTCACTAGCCGCCCCTCCTCTCGTTTTGTCATCCCCACCCCCAGTCTCGAGCTCCCTCAGTATGTGTCTGACGATCTTCAAAGTCCCAAAAAAGCCCATTCAATACATGGAAGATGACCAAGATCTCCCATCTCTGTGTCAACATCTGAAAAGTGAGTCAACAATCCCTCAAAGAACAGATAAATAAAGCTTAATCCAGCCACATTTGGTCCATAAGGTACCACTTATGTCATTTTCTGATCACAACTTCATCACAGCATTTATTCCAGATGCTTATGACAAAGCAGGACACAGCGTCAGGTGTGAGTCTTAATGCAATCACATATTCCCTCTTCTAAGCTCTGCCCCAAACATGTTTTCTTCTGATTGGATAACGGTGAGACAGACCCCTCTGGAAATATATATGTTAAAAAGACCAGCAGTTCTGTATAATCATACTTTGGACCTTTCTTCCGTGGTTTGATTATCGTGATCCACCCACCTCTCCACCCCCTTTGCCTGCCGGATTCCCCCGGCCTTGAGAGTGTAAACCCAGCACTCAGATGAGCTGTGATGAAACCAGACCCAATCGTGTGACTGGTCAGCTCTGATTGGCCGCAGCAGTCACACGACAGTGTTGATTCCAAAGGTCCATTGGATGCTAAATTCTGATTTTTAAAATATTCGGCACAGCTTGCACACAAATTCTGGGCAATTTCAAGGGTTTTCCAATGAATTCCAGTCACTTCCAGAGCCGAGATCTCAATCCCACTTCAGCTGAGCTCGGGTCGAAACCAGCACGCTCTTCCCAGACCCGACGGCATCCTGCCGCAGGTGACGAAACACACAATGCCTCGGCCTTTGGACAAACATGGGCGCCACGGGCCACCGCGCTGTACACACCTCCTGAAGGAATCATTTGCGCCATCTGCATATGGCGGCAATTACGGACGAGGGTCCTTAAAAAGCGTCCCTGTCACACGCCGGTGCTGCTGCAGGTGACTCCGGTGACCCGCATTTTCCACGTGCTAATTGCACCGGAGCCTTTCTCCTCCGCATTTCTTCCTCCTACGCCGGCCGCTAGGAATCCCAGATTGCTAGTCAGACTCTCTCCATTTAATTGGGTTTAAAAATAATTACTTCACTTAAGGTGTTTATGGCAGAAGAACTAATTAAAATTGCCGGACCTCTCTGATACCGGCAGTATTGTTTATTCTGAAGATAATAGAAAGCACCCCCCCGCATTATATGGACGTGTTAGGCTTGAAAAAAACAAATCTGCATAACAAAACATGGAGGGTAGGCTAAACTAACTTTGATGGCACGCTTTACACATTGTCTAACAAGCAATTCTGTTTTTTCCAGTCTCTCTTTTACAAGTGGATCACTTTAGTATAGATCACTTTGGTGCTGTTATATCAGACCTGTCATGCACTAAGAGACATTTTAATCAGGTTACTTTCCTTCCACCACAGAGCCTGGTAGGGAGAGCATCTCACAGTCCTGCCTGGATCAAAGATAATCCCAGAAAGTCACTTGTTTTCAAGTTTCAGTCAATTTTCCGTCAGACAGCTAATTACTTTTTAATTATTTAAGAAGAGACTTGATGAAGACCTAACGGACGATCGTGACCGAACGTGAGCCCGGCATGCTGCAGCCGGCCTTCTGCGCTTAGTGGAGTGTGGAGCCGTGTTACGGGGGCTTCGTGCGGACGGAGCGGGAGGGGACGTCAGCGGCATGACGGACAGGTTGATGGCTTGAATAACCGATGGGTATTGTAGTCTCCCAATGTCTGAGGAGTACGCTGAAAATTCCATTTACCGCGGTAAGTCTTAATCAATAGATTGCCAGATAGTAAAATGCTGGTATATCTCAGCACTGAATGCAAACCCCCCACAGCACTTAGAAACAGCTCTGGGGGGTTGTGGAGATGAAATTACTGCACCACAAAAACATATTCAGAAGAAACACCAGCAATTGAAATAATGGTGATCAGTGACAACAAACTCGTTTGGGAGACAGAACATCTTCTGCAGCCTGACGCGGGATGGAAACTAAAATCGGCACCTTGGTCCAAATACATTTTTGCAACTTCTCCCACATTCCCAGTTCCAACTTAAGGTTTATTTTTAATATTTTTAAGATTTTATAAGAAACTATTTTCTCTGTCAGGTTTTTTGCCTGAATTACAACACCGAAGCAAGAACTATTCAAATGCTCAAAAAAAACTTGCTTCTATGTGGAAATGTTGCTACATTGTTTTGTGATTTTGCAAGGTTAGCTATCAGTCACGTTCCCTTGTCCCCCAGGAAGTTAAGAAGCAATGCAGAGAGATAAAAACGAAGCCCTCATGCAGTTTCAGGTGCCTGTCAGCTTTGCCTTTCAGGCTGAAACGACACAGCAGGTCAATGATAAAGAGCACAGAGGACCGGAAGTTTCCGCGGTCTTTGAAACGGCCACAAAGCTGGGGATCAAGCAGCCTGCGCCGTACGGATACCGTCTCACGACCTGGGTCTCTCCCTCATTAGGGGATTCCCGCTGTCCATTAGAATTAGGTCACCGCTGCCCCCTGCCCCCAACCACCCCCACCCCCCTCCAAGAATGGAGGAGCAGCTCTGTTAGAGCTGCCAAGCTAATTAAGGAAGACCAGGTGCTTGGGGAGTAGCAGTACTCACTTGAGAAAGAGATCCAAAATTAGCCATTTAAATGCAGCTGTCAAACAAAGGGCTGGACCACATGAGGTGGCCGCTTTCACAAACGCGGCGGTCCACCTTAACTGCGCCCGGAGATTTCAACGTGGGCGCCGAAATCAGCATCGTTCCCTTCAGCGGCTGGGGAAATGCTGGATACTTCAGTAATAATTCTCAGGTATGGACATGCCGTTTAAGGATTTTCTGGGCCATACGAACATCAGTGGGCCGATAAATAAATGTCAAAAATTGATTTTCTTGTGTAAAAAAAAAAAAAAAGTTCAGCAATAAAGTGAACCATCCATCCATCCATCCATCTTCCATATCTGTTTATCCAGTACGGAGTCATGGCAAGTATGACACGTATCCCAGAATACACAGGGAAAAGGCCAATAGCCACCCTGAATGGGATGCCAGTCTATAGCAGAGCACACACACACACACACACACACACACACACACACAAAAATGGTTAAGTCAGAAACACCATTTCTGCTAACCTCAAGTTTTTGAACCATGGGAAGAAGCTGAAAATTCTTAACATAAAATGGGCAGTATAGTTTGAATAGTACGCTATAGCTTTAAGACATCAAAACCTTAATAATGACTGTAATAAGAGGCCAGGCATATAAAAAGTGTGGAAGAAGGAGAGTATGATTGTCGGACATCAATTTCTTTGCGAGGGCATCCGCTTTATTGTCAGGCTGCGGAGGAACAGGGAATTCCATTAAAGCGTGACGCGATGCGACATTCATCACCGGCTCTGTCACGTCGGCCGCTCGCCGACACGCGAATAACTCACTCGCTGACTCCTGCCTATGTGCGGACGCCATTCTGATGCGGCCGCCTTCCCGAGACTCCTGAGCTGCCCATGGTCCAGGCGGACTCGGTGCTGGTATCCAGCATGGAGAGCTGGTCCAGAGAGCTCGTTCCGGGGGCATCCGTCACCTCCGAATTTACACCTCGCACACTCTGTGATCCACCTCACTTTCTTGAGTGCCCACTAATTAATCACTCTTTTCTTACGTGCTTCGAAAGAGAAAGAAATGGGACTCATTTTCTGCCATTTATTCATGCAGTTGTGGGTGCCGGAAACATTAAACGAGGGAAATGTTAATTACGTCGATCCTTTGGCTGCTTTTCAGCAAATATCTGATGTCTTTTCAGCTTGTGGGCCATTGAAAGGAACCATATGGTGACAATAAACATTATAATTTGAACAAATTCATGATTTTTTCAATAATGAACTAGTAACATTTTTCATTTTTATTTAAATACCCTTAATTTAAATGATGATTAGTTAATTTAGTCCTGTATTATTAGACCTTGGTTACTGCATTGCCAGTTGTGTGGTGACTTGGTGGGTAGTGCTGTCACCTTATACCTCCAAGGTTGGGGGTTCGAATGTCTCCCCCCATGGTGAATGTGTGTGTCCTGTGATGAACTAGCATTATGTGTAGTGGGGGTGGGTTTCAGGGCTGACCTCTCAAGTGGCCAATAACAGTGGGTCCCGCAGGGCTGGAGCTGAGAACTGCTGCTTTATTATTGGCTGATTGAGAGGTCATCCCAAAATGGACACCCCCACACCGGTTCCCCAAGGATCAGGTCCCTCACCCCTGATGTACAGGTTGTGCCCCTGCCTAGAATAAGCCCCCATGGCCTTACAATGCTTCTGTGACCCTCTCTGGGAGAAGCTGTCTATAAATGGATGGATGAACACCCAGCAGAAACTTCTAATCCTGGTACATTTATCAGTTCTGCACAGGGCTTTGGTGTGTGTGTGTGTGTGTGTGTGTGTGTGGAGTGAAGGCCTTCATCCTCAGGTAGAAACGGCAAGGACCCCAAAGACGTGGCACAGCCCAGTCAGTCAGATGAAGGATGACTGGCCTCACACTATTTTTCATTTGTACTGCAGCCACGCCCGACGTGACGCGAATCTATTCCGGCAAGCTGAGCCGTCCGGCTTCTGGAAGCCGGCAGAAACGATGACGTGGAAGGTAGGATCATCGACCATCCCCGGCACCTCCCCGCGGGGACCGATCGGCCGCTATCCTTATGCGTCCTTCTGAGTTCAACAACAGGACTCCCATCTGCTGTCACCACCCTGCCACCCCAGTCTCCGGCATCCCCATATCCGGGCCTCAACTGGATCGACAGCCAATATGACCTGGCAGATCCGTGGTGCACATTCCACTTACCGCGTCCATCCGCACGTGTGTGTTTTTCTCTCTTCCTCTCAGTGATATTTCCTGTCACAGAACAAAGCTTTTGGAGGCTATCGATTGTGCGCTTCTCACACTCAGAGGCGTGCAAGTTTTATAGCCATGACTGTGCAGGAAAGATCCATTTATTTAATAAGACACAGCACAGCTGAGCCCAATCAATGCCTTTGGAAACAATTCTTGGCAAAATTAAGGGAACTGAGTAGACGGGCCTGGAACTCGACGCACATTTTACGGCGAAACTAAAACACCGCTTCGTCTTTAGGTAACGATTAACACGCGTGAGCACCCTAGAGAGGCGTGTCGCATGTGGGATGCTATATTGCGTCAGCTGAAGTGGCCCTGCAGTCCCTCCCTCTAGCCTAGGATGTATGGAGCAACTGGCCCAAGGGTTTGAGAGGCCTTACATGGTTGGACACAACGGCAGAAGCACAATTTGAGGATCAGCCACCAACGTGGAGCCCAAGGGAAGAAAGTCCTTCTTTTAGAAGATGCCAGCTGCAGATTTTTGATGAGCACCATAGACACAAATAGTTTGCCGCTAGTTCGAGAGCAACGTTGGCAGAGGTAATTAAATAGTAAGGGGGGTAGGGTTAGGGGATGACAGGTGAGGGCCGTGTGATTCAAACTGCTGAAAGCCGATTACCCATAATGCTTTGATTGCTTGGCACCCCCACTGTGGCCGCATAGAGAGGGGGGGAAGACCATAATCTTAAAAATGCACCAGCCCAGCTGGAGCCACACGCAGGGATGTGGGGTTTTAACTGACCCGCGGCGTGTCAGTGACCAGCAGGAGAGGAGGACACGCATGCACACACACATACACGCGGCGTGTCAGTGACCAGCAGGAGAGGAGGACACGCATGCACACACACATACACGCGGCGTGTCAGTGACCAGCAGGAGAGGAGGA